CAGCACACATAAGACATAGGGGAAAGGGAACAAGCCCAGCATGGAGGGCATTGAGGAATCCTCTGCCTGGCAGCACTGCTCCTACTAGTAAGCATAAGAACTGGACCCAGGCCAGAGTAGGCTAGTCATGGCTACAGCTTCCATTGGCATGTCAGCTGGGTTGGCATGGGTGCCAGTCTGGGCTGACTATATGCACTGGTGTATGCATGACCCAGAGTAAGTGGAGGCTGGTCAGGCTTTGCTGCAGCAATTGCTGGCAAGTGCTGGGAATGGGGACAAACCCTGTTGAGCTAGACTGTAGAACCACCTGGACAGTGCAAGATCTGGGACTGGGAGTGGGCCCAGTAGGAAAACTGTGGGTACTTCTCTGATGGCTTGCAACTCCCACCTGTGAACATGAGAACCAGGGCTGGTGGTGGATCTAGTTTTACAGACAGCAACACCAACCAGCTTAAGTGTGGACCGGACAGTGCGGTCACTTGGGCTGAGCTAGGCTGTAGCACTCACTGATCTGTACAAAAGTAGAGCGGGATGTGGGATAGACCAGACCCATCTGCTGCACATACCAGCACACACACAGGAACTGGGTTTGGGGGTAGTCATGGTGGGGGATATATGGAGTTGCTCCAACTGGGCTGCAATTTCCACTGGTTACATGAGGGCTGATTGGGTGGTGGACAGGGTTAGGCTGGGTCACAGCATCACAGGTTTGCACAAGGGATGTGGCCGGAGAAAGAACTGACCCAACAATGGCAACCACCAGTGTGTGTATACGATGTGGGTGACAGTCTGAGCTGGACCCTGTACTGGCAAGCACGGACAGGCGTCATGTCTGTGGTCAGCTCAGGTGAGGTTTCTTTGAAGACCCATCCACACTCCCAACAGAACCACTAGACTCAGAACTCCAATCATGGGGAGAATCGCAGGATCTGTGATCTGAGTATGGAGTGCATGAGGCAGAACTGGGCCTCCTCAATTACTGAAGGTGGTGCAGTGGATGGCATGCCCAGAGGCACAGGGGGATATGGCAGTCCACTGGGGGCCTGCAGAGGACATCTAGTAACACAGCAAAGGATCGAGAGCAGAACAAATTGGACAACTCTCCCTGCCAAGACGAAACAGCAAGTATAATGAGTGGAGATTCCAGACCTATGAAAGATTTCCTCATCCTTGGAGCAACAAAATCTAAGCATTCCAGAACTATCAAAACCACTTGTGCAGAATCCTCAGAACATGCTCCACATTGGGGATCCAGGGATGACACAGCTGTCCACCATTCCTGGGTACTGATATGGTTAGGAAGTTGGGTGCAGATTCTCCCCTTCTCTCTCTCATTCCCCCAGATACAGGAAGAAAAAGAAAATTGGAAACAAATCCTCTCACTCACTTTGTCCTAGCCCTTGGCCCTTCCTACTCTAATCAGTGGTCCACACAGGCATGCACCCTTTTCAACTATGCAAAGATCAGGAAAAACAAAATAAAAAAATATATATGGAATTTGTTTACTTTCTACAGATACACAGACAGATAAATAGACGATGTCTCAGATTTCCTAGTCATACTCCAGCTGTTTTCTAAATCCCTAATGTTGGATATGCTGTTTTTTTAAAAAAAAAAACATTATTTTATCCACTCATCCACCAATGCCACCCTTCATGGGCCAGGAACTGTGACAGGCATAGTATTTTTTAAAGCAGTGGTGAATATTTTGGTACAAAGTACAGTCCAGGAAAAATAAAAACTTCGGGAAATCAAAAAATATCCCAATGAATGAATACTAATCATAACAAATTTTCAAAATATTATTGAAAATAAAATATAAGTAACACTGCTACTAATCTATCTCAATATATCATAGGTATGTAATACATTTCTTCTTATGGGTCCTAATCAAGATAACATGAAACTACTACTAAAATCAAGACAACAAATATATTTTTGTCAGAAACACGTTCTACAGTCTTTGTAGTCATGTTTTACGATTAAAAGTGAAATAAAACTTTGCCACTAATATGTAGATATTTGCAAGCTTTTTGTTCATTCTGAAGTAATAATGATGAGAAGAAACTCTGAAACTCTGTCATTCTTTCTTTAAATAAATAAAAGCAATTTTTCAAAATCAATGAAAGGACCACAGGATACGGGCACTCGACCGCTGTACTCTTCCGTTAGTCCGTCCGGATGACATCACAAGAAGTACTGTGCTGGAAGCCGAGCCATAAGGCTCCACGCAGACACCAAGCTTGCCTGTGCTCCCGATTTTAGATTTCTCAGACTCAGCAGCATGAGAAATTATTTTCTGTCATTTTTAAACTACTTTTTTTGTAGTGGCACTAAAGGACTAAGATATTGCTTAGACTTGGAATGCTCCTCTCTAGCTTTGCACTGCTCATCATACGTTTATGTCCTGAACGCAAAGGTCACTACCTATGTAAAGTGGTTCCTGCTTTCACGACAGAAAAAGAATTTGCCATTTGGCCGAAATAGCTCTTGTGGCATTTAATACATTCTCCTTCCTTTACACATAAATGATATATAATTTCTTACCTGTCTATTATTAGGGGCTTGGTCCACATTCTTAATACAGTCTCAAAGTGACAGTTCTGCATTAAGGAAAAGCATTTAGGATAAAACCTTTCTTTTCAGTTCAGAACACAGGTTCATAACTAAGACAATCCATTTCTCTTGTCACGGTCCATAGGGAGACAGCATAGAATGTATATTCAGAGACTCATTTAAGAAGGGTAGCTCTGCTATCAACTTTTCTATCAAGGCTACTGCTAGTCTATAATCAGTACAGGAAAATGAAGAAAAAAGAAACAAGCAGCATTCCTTTAAATGTATAATGGTTCACGTTGCTCTGATGTGAACTCTGTTACTGAGAAACAGGAACTCTAGCTGGATGGCTGGATGACGCCTGCTCTGCTAAACCACGGTGAATGATATAAGCAAAGAGAAGAGGGCAATGGATACTTTCACATCTTTTCATAAATGATACTTCTCCTTTCTTCCTTCCAGGACTCCACATATGCATGAACATTATACAGACAGACACAGACTCCGGGGCAGAACACCGCTGCCTGCTCTGTTTCCCTTTGGTGTTCCAAGCATCTTGACTTCCTTTGCACTGTGACACACTCACCTAGGTGATATTTCTTAGCTTTTTAGACAGGCTAACATGGAGAAAAGCAAGTAATTGGGTAGAATTTCCAGGGAAATTCAAGGATGCTTCCTCTAATGGAAGAAATGCTTTCATCTTTGCATTTCATTTCATCTGCACTGCAATGGACACAGAAGCAGCAATTATTATGTGCCCATAAGTAAAAGGCCAATAAAACTGCAGATACTTTAGCCCTTACTTGGACCATAAAAACCAAGGTTGGCTACCACCTTTGAAAATATGAGAAAAATAAATCCTATGTGCTTAAGTCGTAATAATTCCATTCCATATAAGACTTTTCCAAAATACAATTGCTCATAAAAAGCGAAGTCAAGGTAAACATACTGAAACTGTCACCCAAAATGTGGTCCATCCTTCATGCTTACCATCATGGGAGTTACACCATCTCCTACTCAGCTAAAAAGCGTAAACTATGAATCAGTCTGAATCACTTCTTATTATGCCCTATTCCTCTTAACAATCTTAACATGCATCTTGAATTCTACCCTAGCTACATTTAGTAGCCAATTTTGCAGTCTCAAATTATGAGATTCCAGGACACCAGAACTGCCTAAACATAGACTTTATCATTTATACCACAACCCCTGTAGGGTTATGCAATACAAGTTCAACTTGACCAGACACTGTATTTGAGGACTATAGCATTCTAACATAAACTGATCTAATACTACCCATATGGCACATCGGCTCCACAGCGTGGAAGATTATTAGCCCATTATACCACAGTGCCGGTTGGAGGTTTCAATTTTTCTTAGTCTGTGCAGGTTTCCTCATATTTTGTTAATCAACAATGGTTAAAAATATATATTACTTAATTTATACAGGATCCAGCTGAACTATAACAGGATGACTTTCAGAAAAATCTCACCTCTAATTAACACTGTTGGAAATGAAAATCAAAAGCACACTGTTTTGAAAGGAGACAAAATATCAGCACTGAAAACATATAAAAGAAAAACAGATATTTAATAAAATGTATATCATATGAAGCAAAAAGTAACACCTTTACTGAAAATACAATTTTATGAATGTTGTTATGAGATTATTTACTGCCACTAGAAACGAAATTCATCACTAAATGCCACATGACACAATAAATAATTTAATGTAGATATGCTTAAGTTCATGTTTACTTAAAAATTTTTAGCATATGCTCAACAGTTGAAAGTCTAGAAATATAAGATAAGCTTTCAATGTTAAATTATTTATTTATGTGAAGGCAGAGAGAGAGAGAGACCAGGAAGAGAGAGACTTTCCATTTTCTGGTTTACTCCCTACATGCCTGCAGTAGCACCGGCTGGACCAGGTCAAAGCCTAGAGTCAGTAACTTCACTCAGGTCTCCCACACACGCACCTGGCCCATCATCTCCTGGTTTTCCTAGGTGAATTAGCAGGAAATTAGATTAGAAGTGGAAAAACCAGGAGTAGGCTCTCTAATATAATCTGTGCCCTGTCCAAGTAACAAGTGTAGCGCACTGTGCAACAATATCAGCCCTGATAATATCTTATCTTAAAAGAATGTGTTTTTATAAAAGAGCTCAGACATTTTTCTCCAACCTTTAGGCACCATTTCCAATTCCAGTACCTCTGAATTTAAAGCAATGGAGCCAATCTTCAAAATTCAATGACAAAGAAGATTATGTACCCACTCTCTGCCCTGAGGATGAGAAACGATCTATACTTGCATAGGTATCACAAATGCTGGCATGAGATTAAAAGATGTCACCAAACAATGGTCTGTCACCTTCTGCTAATTAGAACAAAATGAAACAGAACCATACAAAAGTAAATGGAAGTATTTGTGAGAGGATCAGCTTACTATCTTCTATCATAGTAAGACCAGGCAAACATGAAGTTAGGCAGTAGGCTTTCAAAGGTTATACCATTGCTATGTGACTCCGTTGTTCTGCATTACTTAAGAGTGCACAAACAATATATATACCAGAAGACTCCCTGGTGCTGGGCTAGAAGGTGTGGGGAAAGAAGGACACCTGCCACAAATGGCTGCCTTGAGACAACAGCTGCTTCTAGTAGAGGCTTCTATTAAGGTCAACCAAGCAGCAATATCCACCTACCTCATGTAACCCCGCCCCAAAAGACCACTTTTCCTTTACTCTCTCTCTACCTCCTAGTCTCTGAAACGCTCATATAACCATGCAGTCAAGGTAAAATTACCCTCTTAGCTCTCTAACACTAATTTCCAACCTGATTCAAATGTAAAAACCAGTTGTGCAATAAAATGAGGATGATAGGCAGGTGTGTAAGACATGAAGGGAAGGAGACACAACACCCTGAATCACTGAGAGACAGAATTTATGCAATGTTCCACTTAGTGTATGACAGGAAATGTATTTTAACACTATGCTCTTAACTTCTTGCTCAGTAAGTCACTGATTTTAATATTTTGATCAAATTACACAGTGGAAGATTTCCATTTCATTAAGAAATACTAGGACCTAAACATTACAGATAATATGTGCAAATTAAAGCTACACTTACATTCCATCTGTCAAAAGAGTTGTGGCTTAAAAAAACCTAGAATTCTATTTGCCAGAATCAGCTGTCAGGCACACGTGCGCACACACACACACACACAGAGCTAATCAATCAAGATAAGCTGATCAAATTATAATAACGCCCATAATACTCCTGGACATGTCCTGCTTGTTGTACAACACTTCCCTGATTTGTCTATCTTTTAACTCATAACTTCATTCCCTACTAAAGGCCCTCTTTCTGCCCTGTTACACCTGTTTGGTTTCCCTACACTGTCATTATGATCTCTAATTTTAAGGACTTTGTGCAGAACTAATACTCCAACTCTTTGTATTTTGATCTACCTGTGGGCCCTCTAGGTTCAGCCTTTAGTTTGAACTTGTCAACTGGCATCAACCCATCTTTGCATGAGAGAAGTTGAAATGGCAAGAGATAGTGTTGGAAACATTTATACATATTATCTTTCAGAATATTAAAGGTTTTCATACATCATCATAACAAATATCTTGCTTTCACTCATGCTGTTTACTAGGATTACCAAATCAGCATTTTCAAAATTAGTACATTCAACTCTTACAACTTACAGATTATAATTCATTAGATCAGAGGCAGGTCCCAGGCATCTAAATATTAAAAGTGTCAAATTTGGTTAAACTGGTCAGCCAAAGTTGAGAAATGCTGTTAAACAAACCACAATAAATGATTCATATCGTCTCCTTTTTACTACCTCAAACATACAGTGAGAAAAAAAATGGCGATGGAATGTGGGAAAGAGAGAACTGAGTAAATCACCCTTTCCATATGGCTTTGAGATGTAGCGGTCTGTGGCTGAGCCAAACTGCACCGGAAGCCAGGTTTGCTCTACTCTCCCCATTACGCTTCTTTCCACCCTTCTCATTTATCTCTGGATTCTTGACTTCTAATAGACTGGGGGTATTTATGCATTATAAACCCCTGCCCAATTCACACCTTCCTTAGTTATTCTTATTTTTTTGCTTTTCTAAAAAGTTAAACTCTCAAGTGTGTTAATTTCAAGTTTTCAGGGATGCATTGTTTAACTGTTAACATCAATGATGCTTTGGTTTTAAATGATGTCTTTTCTTTAAAAATTTTTTTTTTTTTTTGCTTTAAAGGCAGAGCAGAAGAGAAAGCAATGGGAGGAGCAAGACAGGGTGAGGGAGGGGAAGAGATCTTTCCGCCTTTCATTGCACAAAAATACCCACAAAGCTGGGTGAAGTCAGTGCTAGGAAGTCCAGCCAGTTTCCTTTGTAGGTCACAGGGACACACATGCATCAATCACCTTCCGACAATGTACAAACCAAGACCTAAGATACACAGCTGAATAAAAACCAGAATCTATACTGGAGACTTTTATGTATATACAAACTTCCCTTGGCAGGAAAGTCATGTGTTGGATGAAATATCTGGAGACAGTAATCTTCCTTTTCCTTTCAAGCACATTAAAGACGTCTCTAATATTTAATTCATTTTACTCAGAGTGCATGGGTAATAAAAGCTGCGAAACTTAAATGCAACAATATGCTAGAAAAGGTACCCGAAGACTAATACAAAAAGAACAGGCACGTGAATAAACAGTCATTACCTTATGTTTTTTAACCTTAGCAAGCAACTTTTGCTGATTCCATTACTAATTAAAGAACCAGAAAACTGTATCAATGACCTCGTTGTCATAAAAATAATGAGAATCAACTAGAGAATCTCATCACATATCTGAGAAAACCAAAGGCGGGGGAACTACTCAGTAATGGATCAGCTCAGCTAATAAAGGAGCTCCTCTCATAGAGACACTGCCAACCTAATACTTGGTTCCTTTGAGCCCTTTCTGAGTGTAGCTATTTAAGTTTGAATACAAATATTTTAATGTGGTCACATCATTTTGCAGTGTTCTAAAATCCTCAGATGCTGGTTCTACAAAATGCAACACAGGAATGTTTGCCTGTGAATTATCGAAGTCCATTCTGAAAGCGGAAAGACAGTGCAAGTGAAAGGAAAGCTTAGGACTCTATTCAAGACAGATGTTTTCTCATCTCAGGAAATATACACCCCCAGAAGTATTTTTAAACAAAATTCCTACACACTACACACTACTTAAAATTTTCAAAATCTCCAGCACACAGATTAAAACTATATATTAAAAAAAAGTATAACAAAACAGAGATGTTATATCAGATTTCAATACTGTAAAATAAAAACTGCAGGAAAATGATATGTCATCCAAAGTATAAATTCAAATCACAGTAATGCTCAAAAAGAGGTAGAAATAGACAAGAGCTAATACGCTCCAATGAATAAAGATCACGATGCATGGAGAACTTTGTACCTTTGGGTTGGTTTTCAAACTCTTCAGATAGGAGGTGGTAGCAACAACCCACACTGCAAACGCCTTTGATTTCAGAGTTGGAAGCAAATATTCGCAGAGTATTTGGAGCAAGATCACCACAGGTATGAAGGCCTACCAGCAAACAATCCTTTACAGATAAGAAGGAAAACAAATACTGGCAGTTAAAAGGAGAGATAAACTCAGGATAAAATATTAAAAGCTCAGGAATATATGCACAATTATAAGATTCTATCGAGAAGCATTTTTTAAATTCCTATAATGAATAATTATTTACTGTAGGCAAAATAACTGACAGCAAAACTACTGAGCTAACTTCTGCATTCTTGCTTCCTTCTTCACTTATGCTTTGTATAAAATATTGCAGTATGAAATTCAATATAAACATTTTTCTTCTAGAGGCGGGCATTAGCCTGGCAGCTAAAATACCAGGAAAGATGCCCATATTCAATATCACTGTATAAGAGTTTGATACACTCTGCAGAGAATTCAGACTGTGGAAGTAGTGGAATAGTTAATAAGGCTGGGCTCCACCAACCATCAGGGAGCCCTGGATTGAGTTTCCAGATTCCCGCTCCAACCCTAGCCCGGTCTTGGTTATTACAGCATTTTCGAGTTGAAGCACAGAATTGGAGCTCATTTAATTTTTCTCTCTTTAAGGCTCTGATTTTTAAAATATGAACTTTTGGCAAAAAATCTTCTATAAAATATTTCTTAAAATTTCCACAACCTATTTAAAATGTATTTACACAGGTGTATACTGGCTCAAATGCTCAACATAGCAATCACCCTAGAGTTAAATTTACTACCTTCCTATCTCTGGCATGGTACTTATTCAGTCTCAGACCTCTGTTTCTGATTAGCTTTGGGCTAATGCCTCTAGGAAAGCACTAGATGATGGTGAAAGTGCTTGGGCTACAGGAATAGAAGACCGGAATGGAGTGTCAGGTTCCTAATTTTGACCTGGTAAAACCCTGGCATTTACACGCATTTGGGGGATCATCAGCAGATGCAAAAAGTCTCTCTTGCTCTGTTTCTTCTTCTGTCACAATTAACACATTTTTTACTATTAGTGTTTTTATGATATGGTTCCAGAGGCACAGAGCTTTCCCCTTCCGCCCTCCATTTTCTCCCATATTATTGCAATAGTTATAGTTGTTCAGCAACAGCAACAAGTCAACATTCTGGTATTTGAGCACATCATGACATTGCAGGTATAAACGATGGTAGAAATTCCAGCATCCTATTATCAACATATATTTAACAGCAGCTTCCTTGGGAGTGTTCCCAGTATACTAGTCTCCACTACGCAGTTCCTTTGGTCAATATATGTAAATACAGCTATACGTGTTTACCTATTTTGTCTATTTATCATATATTTTGTTTGAAGGTTGCCTTTTGTCAGAGAGAACACAATTTGTCCTTTTGGAATTAGCTTATTTCACTGAAATTAACAAATCTTGAGCAAGATGTTAAGTAAGATAATTCACGTAAATGATGGTAAGTAAAATCTTTGGCATGCAAAAAATAAGCATATGTATTCTATGTTATCATTATCATTTACGTTATATTATAAATGACAGAAATATTAACTTGTAGCTCAAGTATTTCTTGATAACTACTTTCTGAATACAACTGCTTCGTTTAAATATTATTTAATTAAAAATGTCAGCTCATCCCATGTAATCCAGATGTAATGCAGAGCCAACATCTAACAGACTCTGGGTTTAAATTCCAGTTCAGTCACAAGTGCATATTGTATTCTGTATGGAATACTTAGTTGCTTCAACCACGATTCTTTTCAAAGCATAGTTTGTAGAGGATTGTAAAGTCATATAGCCTTCTTTATGATTAAATGTTCTAAAACAGCATTATTTATAAGCTAAAATGTTACACATAAAAATGTGTAACTTCTCTCTAAAATTAATTGAATATTCCTTAAAGACAATATAGATACATTTAATCTCCCTATTCACATATTTATCAAGTAGGAATAGTCAATAACATTAGCAAGTTGCCACTAAAAGACAAAACAATCACAAGTTTATCCCAGCAGTAAATATTTACAAATTGTGTGGGGATTCATTGACAGAATACGCGAAGTGTATATGAAATTCCAGTTATTAAACGTTGATGCATTATGAAATGCAATAAGCATTCTTCCAGCATCTTACTGATTGTAGATCATTTTACAAGACTTTGGATATAATTTTGTTCATACAGTTTCAACCAGATTTTAATAAAATTGAAAAGTAACAATGTGTACTACAAGTTTTTCTTTTATTTTTGCTTTTTATTGTTATTTTCCATAATATGGTTTTGTCAAGGGATTCCCCTCCATCTCCATTTCTTTCTTTTTGAAAGTTAGTTTAAGGTATTTAGGGTTATTAAATCTACCAAAATATTAAGAATATCCAAATTATTGATTTCACATACGAGAAAAGCCATTTAGTGAAAATTAACTTGTTCTTTTTACTTTAGTACTACCCAAAATCATCTGCTAAGAAATTTTTCATTAAAAAAATGTAAAATAATTTGGTCAGCTATCAGGCAAGGACTACCTTTTACTTATTCATTTCTTTGGTGAAGAATTTTTGAAAATTTAAAAAAGAGTAGAATAAGGCAACTCTAAAAGCTATCTTGTATTTACAGACAATGAGTTGGAGGAGGGACTCCCACAGAATATTGCTGTAGCATACAACACTACCTGAGCTGAAGATCGATGGTATCTCACTTATATACTCCTATAATTTAGAAAAAGTTGAAACTTTAACGAATACTCAGAAGCAATTCTAGCTCAGGAAGTCACCTATTTGGTCACTAAGGATACACTGAATATAACCTTGCCCTAAATATGTCTTTACCTCAAGTTTAAATTAAAATTGCAAAACTTTCTTGCATCATACTAAACAATCTCTAAATTGCAAAGTGAGTTAAATACTCAGCTATTGTTCTTGTACATGTATTTGATTTACAAGAACTAAAATTAGCAGAGGATACTCTAAAATGTGCTTTCCTTACATTTTAGTAGCTGTCGACTAATAAAGGCTTATTTAACATTTTTTTTCAGATTTATTTATTTTGTATTGGAAAGTCAGATTTACAGAGAAAAAGAGCTTTATCCACTGTTTTTTCCCCATGTGGCTGCAACAGCCGGAACTGAGCTGATCCAAAGCCAGGAGCCAGGAGCTTCTTCCAGGTCTCCCTTATGGGTGCAGGGTCCCAAGGCTTTAGCCCTTCTTGACTGTTTTCCCTGGCCACAGGCAGGGAGCTGGCTGGGAAGTGGGGCTGTTGGGATCAGAACTGGTTTCCATAATGGGACCCTGGAGGTTGCCAGGTGAAGATTTAGCTACTACACTACCGTGCCAGCCTCCTGTTTAACATCTTATTATCATACTCTTTTTAGATCAATGTGATCAAATACAACTTAACAGATGTTAAATGCACTCATAAATTGAATTCTATGTTTAAAACATTTTCAAATTAAACTGAGAAATTTAAAAGAGAAATTACCTCAAGATCTTCAATAATGCTATGTAGTTCTGAATCAGCAGTGATAAAAGAAGTTAAAGGTGAATATATATTTGAGTCATTTGACTTTGCCGTCGTATTTCTTCTCCCGTGACTTGTTTCCGGCATTTCCTTTCCTTTGCTGGGTCCTTTGGATGAAGAAGCAGCCTCTGTTTCATTAATAGGGAAAAGGTTTATAAGAGAAAAATCATTTTCCAAACAATTTTCTTCTAAATGTGGTTGAGTACATAGGTGTTCCATTTGTTTTCTGATGTTAGAAATTACAGAATCTGAAACAGCTGGAAAACAATCTGAAGTTGCTGTTTTGTCTTTATTTGCTGGTCTGATGCTACAAACGTCCTCAATATCTGCTCTGTAGTTCATTTCACTTTGCTCTGTTGTTCCTCTTGATGTTTGTAATGTGGTTCCATTGACATCCAATCTTGACTGAGGATGATGGGATTTCCAACGCCTCTTCAATTTCCTGTTTCTCTCCTTAGCTCCGTGAGTATTAGTATTTGAGGAATCAATTCCATAAACTTTTAAGCCATACTTCAGCGACAAAAAGGAGCTTAGATAGCCTTTACCAGAACCCAAGTCGATTACCTATAAAAAGGAAAACAAATTAAATTAAAGAAATTTTAATAACTGGTAGCAGAAAGCAGTTGTTTGTAAACCCAAATAAACAAGCAAGTACAACAATTTATACAATCTGCTTATGCTTGTTCTTTCATTCCAACTTTTTTATTCCTACTGAAAATCACTTTTGTGATTTTGAGTTTTCTTGCAAGTTACAACAAGAGAAGTAAAAGACAAGTAGTTGAAGGGAAAAAGGAAAGTGTCCTCAATAATAAACTACATGATTATGCACTCAGAAATTTCTAAGAATATACATAAAAGCTAACAGAAAAAGTAGGTATACTGTGCGATACATGATGGCTCAAAATCAACAGAAAGCAGCCACAAACAGTTGGAATATACACCATATAGTGAAAGAATAAGACAACTAAACAAAAATAGCATGAAAACAGAATGCCCAAGAATTTAACAAAGATGTGCAAGATTTATATACTGAAAGCTAAAACATTGCAGTGAAAAAATTTCAAAAGACCTAAATAAACATACGCACCATGTTTGTAAAATAGCACACTCAATACTAAGATGGCAATTCACTTAAACTGACATGCAGACCCATCATTTCCCTAGCCAGAATTCTAGCACAGCTTTCTGTACAAACTGATATGCAGGTAGTACAATTTATATGAGCTAAAAAAGAGCCTAGACTAACAGCAAAACAACACATGAAACCTAGACAAGGGATATGGACATTTTGAGAGCTGATTATTGTTTATAGCTTTTGCCTCTATTTTTGAGGAGTATGTTTATCTTACTTTATTTATTTATTTTTTGCTTGTTAGTTGTTGTATTCTTCACCTAATGGAGTGTAAGCCTGTGATTGAAAAAGGAATTGAAAGTAAACCACTGTAAAAATAAAAAAAATAAATAAAAATTAAAAAGTAAAGAAAGGAAGGAAGGAGGGGAGGATGGAAGGAAGAAAGGAAGGGAGGAAGGCGGAAATGGGGAACAGGAGCCAGAGGCAGGGTAAGGTGAGCAGTATCACTATAATTCTAAATCTATATGGTGTAATACATGGAATCTGTTCATTTTATATTAGTACATTAAGTAAAAATATCTTAAAAAGAAATGAGTAGACAATTACAGAAATATTGTTATAACAAATCATTATCCAATCTTCCTATACATCTAAAGCTAACTCTTAAAGCCAGTTAAACCCTATTGTTAAATATGAGCCACTCAAGGAAACAGTTGTATAGTTAAAGTAAAACCCATCATTAAACAAATCCTTGAGACTCTCAGGATCTTAGGTTGCTAGGGCGGCCGTGACAACAGTTGCCAGATGGTTATGTATACCCAGATGTAGGAACAGCTAGTGCATAGGCTTCAAGTCCTTCTCAAGTTCTGATGAAAACTCCTCCTCTATGGCCCAAGACAGTAACAAAACCAGAGTAATCACAGTTACTACAGTGACATATTACAAGAAGTTCTTTTGTCTAGTTGCATAAGAATCCAAGAAAGTCTCATTAAAATGCATCAAGAAGAGGCTCCCTTCACATCTATCCAGACAAATGGAAAGCAAAATCTTTAAGAATACATATCAATCTTCATGGTTTATGTAAACATGCTTATTTTTTCTTGAAAATATGTCTAAAGATTGCAGTATGTTGTTTGTTTTTCTTCTTTTCATTTTACCAGAAAGCATTCCTTAATGGATTAAGATAAAATTCTCATTTACAAATGAATTTCAATAAACTTTTTTTTTTTAACTGATGCAGAATGAAAAAAAATCAGGGTTTGGAATTAGGCCAATTCAAAAATAAAATTTCAGTAAATAATGTACCATAAAAACAGATTAACTCACAACAGTTCCATATACTACTCCTCCATGTAAAATCAACAATCTGGCAAGGTTCTATGAAAAATACCAAAGGGTTACACATGTTTTTTAAAAAGCTGCAATCTAACTATAGACTCCATCTTCGCCCACACTCATGAATACAAGGTTACATACTAAGATTCCACAGGACCTCTATTTGTTGGTTTCCCTGTATCTCCATCTCTCCAGAGCAACACGACTGCAATGTCAAGGGCAACTTAAAGGTTTACTACTTGTAAGAAGATGGTTGGCAAAATAAACAAAAAAGGACCACATCAAACTAAGAAGTATCTGTACAGCAAAGGAAACAGTCAAAAAAGCAAAAAGGTAATCAACAGAATGGGAGAAAATCTTTGTACACTACACAACAGATAGGGAACTAATATCCAGGATTTATAAAGAGCTTCAGAAACTCAATGACAGTAAATAAACCAGTTAAGAAATGGGAAAGGAAATGAGCATTTTTTCCAAAGGAACAAATGGCTAGCAGACATATGAAAAAATGTTCTAGTACACTAGCAATAAAGATAATATAATGAAAACCATACTTAAGTTCCACCTAACACCAGTGGGAATGGCCTACATAACAGAAATCTACAAACAACAACTGCTGGCAAGGATGTGGTGGTATTGTATACTGTTGGTGGTATTGTAGAATGGTCTAGCCACTATGGAAGTCAGTCTGGAGAGTGCTCAGGCAACTAAAAATTCATCTACCATATGACCCAGCAATCCTACTCCAAAGGAATACATTCAAAAGAGGCGATACATACACATGAGAAAGCAACCTGTACCCTATAATCACTGTCGAACAGTCAACAATTCATCAAAAACAATGGAAGCAACCTACATACCCATTAAAAGAGGACTGGATAATGGAACTTTGATAAATCTACTCCTTGGAGTACTATCCTGTCATTAAAAAGAATGAATTTCTACCATTTGCAACAAAATGTTCCCAAGTGGAGCCTGTTATTCTTGGTGAAATAAGTCAACTCCTAAGGACAAATATATGTCTTCTCTGATTTAAGGTAACTTTCACCCAAAATGCAAAACAAAAAGTTACAAAGGTAAATAAGTTTATACTTGTAATGTCACAAATGAAGAATGTAATGAAGATGAGAGTACCAGGAATCAAAGATTGGCAGGATGACTTTCTACTCTCGAGTAAAAGGAGGCACCCAATACAACTGATAAATACAGCTTGACAACAAAATACTAGACTCTCCATAATGGCTTACATCTACAATGTCATGAGTCATATAAGAGCTGAATGCCATAGCTGAAGGACTATGTTACTGTAAAACATATGGTGACACTGGGGAGGGGAGTCAAGGAGGCAGGAAAGAGAGGGAAAGGGAGAAAGCCTCAACCTGCCAAAACTGTAACGTGTAAAATAAAAATGAAAAAAAAGTTAAATTTTTAAAAGTTAATGGAAAATGTAATGAAATAATTCTATTCCTGTGCAATGAGAATTCATTTTTTAAGATTTTATTTTTATTACAAAATCAGATATAAGGAAAGGAGGAAAGACAGACAGGAAGATCTTCCATCTAATGATTCATTCCCCAAGTGAGTGCAACGGTTGGTGCCGATCCAGAGCCAGGAGCCCAGAGCTCTTCCGGGTCTCCCACGCGGGTGCAGGGTCCCAAGGCTTTGGGCCGTCCTCAACTGCTTTCCCAGGCCACAAGCAGGGAGTTGGATGGGAAGTGGAGCAGCTGGGATTAGAACTGGTGCTCATATGGGATCCTGATGCATTCAAGGTGAGGGCTTTAGCTGCTGGGCCACGGCGACAGCCCTAGAAAATGGTATTTGAGTGATAATAAAATATATGGAAATTGTCTTACCTGCTTTATTCCATAGTAACCAGCAATACTACTGATCAGTTCTGACATTGCTTGAACTTCATGAGATTTTTTCATATTCATAAAATCAACTGGCTTCACATTTTCACCTGAGTGAAAATAAAAAAGATTTAAAATACTGCTGCTAAAGAAGCAAAACGTAATAGAAATCATCAGTTGATTCCTATTTTTCAAGTTAAAATTGATAACACATATTTTATTGTGGTCTCCACATAACAGATTTTTACAGGATTAGCTGCTATGAATCAGATTGGAAATACACATGAGCAGAAGGATTACTAGCTTCTACTAAGAGTTGGGGCTTGTGATGCAGCTGCATTTACAATGCCACCATCCCCTACCAGAGCACCAGCTCAAATCCTGCATGTTCTTCTACCAGCCTAGCTTCCTGCTAATCTCCCTGGAAAAGCAGCAGAAGATGGCTCAAGTACTTGGCCTGTTGCCACCAACACTGGAAACCCAAAAGAAGTTTTTGGCCCAATCCCAACCACTGCAGCCATTTGAGAACTAAACCAGTGAATGGAAGATCTGTTTCTATCCCTGTCTTCCCTTTATTATTCAATAAATAAAGCTCTTCTTACAACTTTTTTTAAAAAGAGTACTAAGAGTCCTTCTTGTGGCAAAAAGTAATTAACTGCAAAGAAAATGACTGATAAATTGGACTATAAAAAGGTTTTTAAAAATTTTCTATTAAAAGAAAGTAAGAAAGCAAGCCAAAAGAAAGGAGAATATACACAGAACCAGTATCCAAGAATAAACAAAACAAATTCCTACAAATCACTAAAATTCATTTCTAATCAAACGTTTTTAACTTCACATTTAAAACTGCAAATTAATTTTTTCAGCTAAGGTAGCCACATCGTAGCCATTAAGCTATAAATGGATAGTTTCCACCAAACTAAGCAGTGCAAGAAAATACTTCCATTACTGCACATGTGCTACAAGGTGGCATCTTAGAGTATTCACTATTACAATTAGAAACTATACTGAGGGCTAGCTAATCTTTGCCTTGCATCGGCTGGGATCCCATATGGATGCCAGTTTGTATCCTAGCTTCTCCACTTCTCATCCAGCTCCCTACTTCTGGCCTGGGAGGGCAGCAGAGTATGGCCCAAAGCCTTGGAACTCTGCACCCACGTGGGAGACCTGGCAGAAGCTACTGGCTTCAAATCAGCTCAGCTACAGCTGTTGTGGCCACTTGGGGAGTGAACCAGCGAATGGAACTTTCTCCTTTTTTTTTTCTATAAATCTGCCTGTCCAATAAAAATAAAACTTAAAAAAAGAGAGAGAATATACTGAAATGAATAAACAGCATATGACAAGGTAGTCAACACCAGCAGTCATGCAAGAGTTGGGTGGTGGGGAACTGAAATGTAGGGCTGGGATGGCTATTATGATATGACAGTGCTCACACTTGAGAATGCCTCGATGTAGGCTTACCCTGGGATCATCTCATTGGGAAACTGGGTTTTCAACAAGGCCTTTCCAAGTGTAAGTGGTGGTTACTCAGGGTCCTGTAGATGGAAGCCAGAAACTTTTTGGTAACACACCGACAGCACTTTAAGACATGGTCTCTGTTGGAGAGGTGTGGATTTCACAAAGGATAAAGTGCCATTCTGCTGGCAGACATTGACCTAGCAAACAGAACTATAACAAATGTAGCAAAATGTTAACAAATGTGAATCTAACTGAAAGCATACAGGGCCTGTTGTGCTATTTTGCAAATTGTCTGCATGTTTGGAAGTTTCCAAAATTAAAAAGGTGAATTAACAGATATGAAAGACCTTTGTAGATGATAAAAGGACATCTGATTAGTTTATTAATGTGATATTTACTTAATTCATCATCTTCATCATTATTATAGCTGACTCTGAGCTTGAGTTTGAGGAATGGTTTTCTTGAAAATCAATCTTCTGATCTTTTTAAATTAAGTACATAATATATTTACACTTGACCTTATGACATGGTTGAGTTTTAATCAACCATATTGCTATTTGTTTTTCACTTGTCCCTTACCTACTTCCTGCCTAAACAAAAATACTAAAAAGATCCTGGCTATAAATAACATAATTCTACTGTAACAAAAAGGTGGAAGGATTTGGTAATCTCTAGTAGACCACTGCAAATTTGTGTTTGATGATCAGGAACTATCTGAAGTAAATTTTATCAGGGCTAATGTAGCAAAACAAAAACAAAACAAAACAAAAACAAACAAACAGCAGAAATCTTTAATATGTTCTATTTAATATGGTCACAACAGAAAATCTAGTCTTGGAGGTACAAACTAATTTATATTGGAGAGATAGGTGGCGGTGACCACTACATCACTGCTAAGTGCCTAAGAAGGCCTCGCACACACACGTAAATACACATACCACTTCTCTGCTGCTCCTTTCCTTGAAGGGCTATAAGCAACTGCTCAAAAGGAGTACATATTCCCAAGTTCTGCGGGGAAAAATATTTTGCAGCCAGAGCGAAAGCTTCTGCACTCACCAGCTTCTGAGAAGTTTCACTAAATATTTTGGGAAAATTAGTAACACCTAAAAAAAAAAACCACAATCAAAAAAAAGAAACAAGTAATAATTAATTAATAGCTAATGTGTATCAGGCTTAAACACAATAAATGAACACCTCTAGACTTTTAGAACAAATTATAAGATTTTCTTTTCTAACGCTCTTTTTTTTACATGTATATGAAATGAACAAATTTCATGATGCAGACTTTAGAGCACAGCAATCCTTCCCTCCTCAACCTTCTGCCTGCCCACATGCTTCACCCACTCTCCTCCTTCCTGTTTCTTTGTGTTTCACAATGGTATATTTCATTTCATTTTGCAGCAACACCCAATTAGGTAAAGATATCAACACAAAGAAAGTAGATAATAAAGAACTTCTTTATAGAGAAAGGTTATAAGCAATAATGAAATTCCAGAATGTCAATGTCACTCATATACATGAAGCTGTTGGTACTCTCTCTACTAGTTATTACAGATCAGGGAAAATACATGATATTTGTCTTTTTAGAACTGGTTTGTTTCTTTAAGCATAATGGCTTCCAATTGCATCCATTCAGTTGCAAAAGACAAGACCACATTCTTTTTTTATGGCTGATTAGTATTTCTTAGTGCATATTTCTTACTTTTTCCTTATCTGGTCATCACCTGACACATATTTGGTTGATTGTATATTGATTATATGCTGATTTCATTTCGTCTGGGTAAATCCCTGGGAGCAGGAGAACTGGGTCATATGGTAGATCCATTTTCAGACATCTGAGGAACCTTCATACTGTCTTCCACAATGGCTGTAGCAGTTTATTCTCTCCAGTAGTGAATTAGGGTACCTTTTGGCTCACATCCTTCTCAGCATTTATTGTTTTCTGAGTTCTATATGATAGCCATTCTACCTGGGGTAAACTGGTATTTGCATTTCCCTGATGGCTAATGAACTTATTTTTTCATGTCTACGGGTCATTTGAATTTCATCATTGCAAAAATACCTGTTCATGTCCATTGTCCGTCTTTTTTAAAGATTTACTTATTTTTATTGGAAATGCACATTTACAGAGAAAAGGAGAGGCAAAGAGAAAGATCTTCTATCTACTACTTCATTCCCCAAGTGAACTGAACTGAACTGAAGGGAGTGTAACTAATCTGATGCCAGGAGCCAGGAGCTTCTGCCAGGTTTCCTACATAGGCGCAGGGTCCCAAGGCTTTGGGCCATCCTCTACTGCTTTTGCAATCCACGGGCACAGTGCTGCAAGGGAAGGAGAGGAACCGGGACACTGCTCGCACGCATAACGAATCCCAGTGCCGCAAGGTAAAGCAGGAGCCAGAGGATTGAGGATTGAGCCATTTGTGCCGGGCTCCCTTTTGCTCATTTCTTAACTGGATTGTTTGTTTTGCTGTTTATTTTGTAAAAACAGATCTGAGATACTAATTCTCTAACAGTGGAATAGTTTTCAAATATTTTCCCCCATTCTGTTGGCTGCCTCTTCACTTGGATGACGGTTTCTTTCAGAAGCTTCTTAGGCTGACATGGTATAAATTTTGGAAATGTCTCTATGGTCCTTTTCAATGTTATTTGAACTGTTAGCTTTATGTAGCACGTAATTTTCTGTTAACATTTTAACAAAAATATATATCCAGATTATAAATCAAAATTTGTTCTTTTTTTTGTCTGCTCCAAGAGCTAAGAGGGAAAATAGAAAAAGAAATATTAAAATATGAACAGTGATGTACTCATTATATTAATGGTCTAAGCTTACCTACTACTGAACATTTGAGGTAAGTATGCCAATTCACGGTTACTCCCAAGCCACACTGCATGTGTAACCATGCTAAAAGTCCCAGGATAAAAATGTTACTGAAAAACAGTTCTTGCATCATCTGGGCCAAGGAGACACAAGCATGGCTTCCACATATAGTCAACGTAGAGCCAACCTAACAGTTCCAAAACTAATCTGTTCATAATTATGAAACTGGTCATTTTTCTCACAATTTTCTATATATTTAATGCAGTAACACTCATTCCATACATTTCATGCAGTAAAACTCATGAATTTAAAATAGTAAGGAAAATCATTATATTATTTACAAACACCCAGTGAGTTCTCTACACGAGGATTATGCATCACACCAAACCGAGGTATGGCTTGTTAATGCAAGCTACACGATTTTCCGGCACTCCAGTCACTAGGTGTTTTTTCCTTCCAGCTGTATGATCGAAGAACTATGCATGAAGACAGAGCCTTCCCCAACACAAGTCCCTTGGTGATTACAGTAAGCATAGCACTACCATCACACTCTAAGAGCATGCAGCCTGTAGGAAGAGTATTCTTTGTTGCTTTCATTTTTTGCATATTCTTATAACATAATTCCACTAATTCTGATGCAAGTACATAGGTAACGTGACAGAATTAAATAATCTTTAATATTTTAAATATAATATTTTAACATTTTAAATATTTCAAATGTTTTAAATAATCTTTGATATTTTAAATATATCTTAAATATAGTTTAATGTAGCCATATGCAAGACCTTCCAATGTATGAGACTTCAAAAACAGCATTCCAATTCATCTTTTGGGTTTAAAGACACTCTAGGATGAATGAGTCTAGCAGCTGACTCACTAGAAATTATTCTCGTAACTGAAATGCAACTGTGGCCTGATAGCCACAAAAAGTCATGCTACCTGTTATGAAGTTTCTTATTGAAAATTGCCTTGTATATTTATTTATGAAATTATAAAATAGCTATTTAGATTAAGCTGAAAACAAGAAAATGGTTTCAAAATTTTAAATAAAAATTACATTGTTAGGCTTAAAGACAGTATCTACTTCTATTATGTTGATGTTGGTAATGCTGATCAAATTCATTAATAAGAATAAAATTGGCAGAAAGGTGAACATTCCATACTTGACTCAACTAAATAAACTTAAATTACAAAATTACTCTATTGCCTTTATTTAACCTCCATTTTATGCATTATATATTAAGTTCTTTGGACATTTTACACACTAAATTTCCTAATGTAGCCAAAAATAATAGAATTTATGGCAAAATATTTAGGCATGCCACAAGAGGGGTAAATTCAGTCAACTATTAAGTGAGATTCTCAGGTTTAAAAGCAGTCTCAACATCGCCAAGTTCCAGGGCAGCAATTTCTTACAGTGTGATAGGTTAAGGGCATTAAATCTGCAAGCGCAGAGGGACTATCATAGTAGTCAGCTATTGGACAACGTTGCCAACAGAAAGAAATGTGATGTTTCTGCTGGAGAAGGAAAAGTTCAAATCAACTTAAACACTACTGAAAATCTTTCCAAAAATCCCAATCTTACCCAAATCAAACTGTTCATGTTGGTGCAGTTCTGGCACGCCCAGTAATTTCATAAACTTAGAAGTCTTAATTACAATTACATTCCTTGTTCAGCAATGAGCTTTTTAAAAGGATAGTGTTCTCAGTACAACAGTTCATGTCATTTAGCGTTTACAGTGGTTTACTTGGGTAGTCTAAAACACAATGAAGAACATGCTTGAATCACGGAAATTGGGCTGCTGTACATTTTTCACTTTTCAGGTGATTCAGACACCAACTTCTGTGACTTTTTATTTTTGGATGTTCAGAGAGAGAAGGAAAGGTGTGAATGACCTTGTGTTCTACCCTTGAAGCAGCAGGTGCGAGTTCAGCGGCAGTGCCGCCAGTGTGTTACCCTCACAGCGCTTCCCCAGGTACTTGTAGCAAATGACAGACCAGAAGCAACGGCACTGTTTAACTTAAATTTAGTCAATTCCTAGGGACTTCAGTTCCTGCTCATTGCTCCTGAACAGCCGGAGGCCTGATTACTTTGCCTACATCTCCCTCTACTGGAAGCTCTTGCTATGCTTGTAATTTCATCTTTGTCTTCCTTTTATTTTTTGTGCTACCTTGATTAAAAATCATATATACATGTTTAAGACAATCTCAAGGTAAACAAATGCATAATGAACACTAAAAATAAAATAAAAAATGACATCTACTATTTACAATGCATACTACTTAATAAAAATCCACAAAATACGTATTTGACTGCTATACAACAATTTAAACAATGACTTGTCAGAGCTCACAGTAACTCATGACTATTATTGCAAACCACTGAACACTTGACTTTTCAGGAAATGGTTTTGTAAGTTAATTACACAGTCCTCTCATGTTTACAGAGGAAAAAGTTGACAGGGAGGTTTTAATTCTCCCAAGGTTTGCACAGACTCTGAGGAGCGAGGCATGAAACCAAGGCAGTGTGCCATCAGACCCTGCTCCTAACACCTGTGTTCTGTTGGCATCTCACCATCACAAGTCTAGTGGACAATAAGGAAGTCAGGCAAAGCACCAACACAGAAAAAGATCAGACGCAGAGTTAGTTGTGGCAAGAATTCTCTCCAGTAGAAATTAATTCACAGAAACATCTTAAGATACTGCATATTTATTTTGTCGTCTTAATTTTTCTACTTTTTTTCATTCTCTCTCCACTAGAAGTAATCTTAAGGCTTCAATAAATAATAATAAAAAATAAGATGTTGTTGTGGTGGCTACTTTGTAACAGGTTCACACCCTGTGAAAGCAACAATACTTTGTACACATCATGGATGAATGCATTCATTTCTAGGTAAAAACTGTACAAATCCAAAAGATTCAAAACTAAACTGAATATTCTCACTCTCCAATCCGTAGATTCACGGAGTGAAAAAGTTAAAAATGACTTCATTATCTTAAATGCTTCGTTTACTCTTAATCTGCAATGCCGGCCTCTCATCAATTTTGGTGCAAAAGGGATTCTTGTTTGGAAATCCCCTTGTCTATCATTACTGTTTCGAATCCTGTTAACTCTCACCATTACTGCTCTAAGAGCGGGAGTTTTCCTGTTATCACCGCAACTCCCAAAGCACAAGGCCAGGGAGCCTGCGTGAATGAAACACTTGTTTTAAAGTGAACAACAAGTTTCATTCAGTGCAAATTTGACCAAACATTTTCTGGCTCTGGCTTCCTCAACAGCTGACT